TCTGGGCCCCAGGTGGGGCAGTCCTGGAGGTGGTCATCCTTCGGCGGAGAGTCGCTTGTGTGTCAAACACTTACTGAGTGCCCACTGACTTCGAGGAACGGGGCGAGTCAAATGTCAGTCATCTCGGTGGCGCACCTACTAACTACCTGGACCTGTAGGCGCCACAGGTGGGCGGTGGTGGGGAGTACCTTGGCCGAGCCACCCACTATCCATTCTTTCCATTTCCAAGACCTGGCTCCGGGTGACTGTCACCTGCCCTTCTTGGGACCTAATCCAGTCTTCATGTCCTCCATTCCAGCTCCCCTCCCCCCATCAGTCATTCATCACGAACCTGCTCCAGGTCCAGTGTGGCAGGGCAAGGTGGATTAGGGACCGACCCAGTTTGAGGCTCAGACATGTCGAATTTCTGGAACTGGGTTAAACTTGCCTCCCTCAAGAGCCTGAACACTTGAGTGAGGTCACCCATGCTAACCTTTGGCACAGTTAGTACTGAGCACATACATGGCATCTTGATTGTGCATGATCTTGGGTAGGTGGTACAGAGGGACTGTGGGAGGTGACACCAGTCTGCTCTTGCCCACCCACGCGACAGTATTTTAATCTAGAACTCTCTCACTGTGCTGCTATAAAGGCCTTCTTAGCGCCCCACGACCAAGTCAGAGGGAGGTCCTCCTGTTTAGAAGCCCCGAGCAAAGCCTTCTATTCCACTAGCTTCTCCCCCATTAAGGCCCTAGAAGGGAGAGCTAGCCTCTGCCTTCCAAGAGCTCACACCTAGTGGAGCCCCTGGGGTGGGAAAGAGGAAAAGAGCCTGTCTAGGCAGTTGGGGAGAAGCAGAACCACTGAATCACTCCCTCCCCTGCTTGCTGAGCAGAGACCCAAATCTCCACCCCACCCCACCCCTGCCTCCAGAGAGAGGCAGAGAGAATGACCCCACAAGATGGAAGACTATCTAAGCTTTTCCCTCCCAAACTCTATCCCATAAGGCTGGCCCTCAGATTTGGGAAGCTGAAACTTGCAGAAACCTGATGTGGTCCCTGGAAGGGAAACGACCCACCAGGAAGAGAAGTGCTGGGTTTCATTTCCTCCCTGGCACTATGGGGATCTGTCATTCAGGGACCCAGCTCTCCTTGGCCCTCAGGGTCGCCACCAAATTCTACTGTGACCCTCAGACTTCTTGGTCACACAACGCATTAACTTTCCATCCCTCTGTCTTTAACCTAAGCACCTGGGAAACTGCCATGTCCTCCAATGGATCTCCCTGTCTCCCCTAGTCGTCCTCGCCCCATGCAGGGTCCATTCCGGACCCAACAGCCTGAAGCACTGTTACCACACCGTCTGCTTAAAACACTCCATTCACTTCCCATCACACTGACAAAGAAACCCCCTTGCCCTGATATGGTACAAGGCTCTAAATGACCCAGCAAAACCTCCCTCTGCCAACTCAGAGCGACCTGTCTCTCCACGGGGCACCAGCCGCCAGCCACAGAACCTTCCTCGAGTTCTTTAACCCAACAGCCTTTCCCCTGCCTCAGGGCGCTCCCCCCACCCCCGGCCTTGGAAATCTTGCCTGCCTTCTCACCTGCTGGGCTCACTCTTCATGCTTCAGCCTAAAACCTTCTCAAAGAGGCCTTCCTTATCACTCTGCCCGACCCTCCGTTTGCTTGATACATACTTCGTGCCCTGGTTTCTCCAGGTTTAACCTCCACCAGGCGGGTGACCTGGCCTGTCCTGCCAGCGGTTAACCCGCGTGATGCACAACATGTAGAAAACCACAAAACACAGCCATCGAGTAGATTGCAACTCAGTGACCCTATAGGACGGAACAAGAATTGCTCCTGTGGGTTTCTGAGAAGATTAACTCCCACTGAAATAGAAAGCCTGGTCTTTCACCCTCTGAGCAGCTGGTGATTTCAAACTACTGACCTCGCGGTTAGCAGCCCAATGCTTAACCCACTGTGCCACGAGGGATCCTCAAAACGGCCCTGGAGGGGAGGAGGGCTAGCCGTAAAAGGAGGCAGAAAGGGCGCAGGGGTCGTTGAAAAGCTGGACGAAGCCTGCATGGGGTTAACTACAGGAATGTCCCAGGGGCCTTCAGGATTAGACACCTGTCTCTAAGTCCCACACCGGCGCCTTGCCCCGCCCCTTTCTAGGAAGCCGGGGGCCGCTGGCCCAGGACCACGGCACTCACAGAGAGGGCCAGCAGCGCGGCGACCCCACAGCCTGCTTGCAGGGGCGCTCGACCGCCGTTTCCCGCCTTGGCTCGGCCCTGGCCCTGCGCCGCGGGCGCACAAAGTCCCCTTTCACGGCCGGCCTCCGGTGCGGCCGCTAGGGAGATTGGGTAACCCTGTCAGGAAAACACAGGCCCTGGGCCGCGGGCCGCCGGGCGCCACGGAGCACAGAGAGCGCATTCTTCTCCGGCCACGCTCACCGGACTGGCCGGCTGGCGGCGGCCACCTGCGTACCCCGCGCCCACGATCCTGAGCTGCAGAACGGAGGGTTGTATGGATTCAATGAGACCAGGCTGGCAAGAAGCCTGGCACACAATATTAGCTATTATGATTACCTTTAATTATGCAAATTTGCATAATTTTTGTCAATTCAAAGTGGCCTAGAGGCAGTTACATACAGTTCATCCTTATCGTTACTCTGTTTTTAAAACAAATTCACTATCCTGAAATTGCAAAGTTGACTGAAAACAAAAACGATTTCAGTTACTGTGATCAGGGTCTTCCCGACTTTTCCAATGGTATGAAGTCCTGGCCTGCTCTCCCCATGATCCGCAGTTCATAATCACCCGTGGAAAGACTGAGCTCTCTTCCTCCCCAAAGGTACAGTCGCAGAAACCCACGGGGGGGGGGGGGGGGGGGGGGGGAACGCGTTGGTCCTAGGGCGGCAGTGACTCCATAGCAGTGAGTTTGATTGAGGGTTGTTTTGTCTGGGGAGGAGGGGGTTGAGTTGGTGAAGTCAAAAAAGCAAATTGGAATCCGTGGTTGACGTCAATTATCTTGTTTCTCAAAAAAAAAAACAAAAAACCACCTCATAGTTCTAATAAGCACATTTTATTAACTTTAAATGTTTATACTATCATATATTTTGAATATTAGATTTCCGTGCTAAGATGTCTCAAAATAGTTGCTATTGAAATGAAATTACAAAGCTACTAATCACTAAGAAATGGCTGTTAGTGATTACTGAGAAATCGGGTGATATGCAGTACATTGGGGAAATCTGCCACAAAAGACCTGTCCAAGGTGCTGAAGGGCAGAGGTCCAGCAGAGGAGGATACAGCCGTTTGCTTTTTCAAAGGCTCACAGAACTGCAGTTCTACCCTGTCCTACAGGATTGCTCTGAGTTGGAACCAACGAGGCCACCATGGAGAAGCTAGTCTAGACCGTTTATTTTGTGGTGAAGTAACAAGTGTGAGGAAGAGAATGTGGATACCTGAAGGCACTTCAGACAGGCCCGTTCCGCCTGAGCTCTGAGAGTAAAAACATCCTAAGAGTTCCCTGCCCCTGTAGGACAAACCGCTGATCTGCTTCACACAACAAATTAGGGCTGGCAGGGGAAGCAGGCAATGGCCACCCCAGCAACCCCGTAGCCAAAGCAGCACAACTTCAAGGGCGATCTTCCTGATAACACAGTTCTGGACATCTCTGAGAGTAACATGTCAGTTGACCAACCAATTGGCCCCTCTGGTATGCCCAGCCCTGGGTTCCAAGAAGACACATTCAAGTGCATTCAGGAACAGGTTTCGCTTAGAGGCCTGCGGTGCCCAGAACGGAGGACAACAGGAAAGGCAAGCCAGAGGGCTGGAAGGGATACTGCCCAGGCCTCATGGACATCACTAGAGGAGCCTCAACTCAGACTCGAGACCTGGCTGCTTGCTGTAGCTTCTAAGTGGCATTTTTGAGTCTCAGCTTCTAATGGTCTCCAGCTACGAACACAAGCTGCTTCTGTCTTCCAGCTACTGCTACTACTGTCCAAATGGATAACTCATTGTAGCTGGCTGGGGAGTGTCCACGGGGGTCAGATGGGCAATAAAACGGACTTAACCTATTGCATTACTGGGTCAATATCCAGCACCCTACCCCACACGCACCTGTAAGATAATTAGGCAGTCCCTCACAGAAGGGCCACATGGAAGGGATGATAAAACCAGGGGGCAGTATAGCACTGATGAAACATAACGATCCTCTAATTCTTTAATATTTCCTTCCCTTTCTATTACGGTCTTTGTTTTACTCACTAATCTTGTTAGACCTGCATCTGTTCGTTTGTGTAAGGCCTTTTGATGCATGAAAGCCAAGACTGGGAACTCTGTAGAAACAGAAACAGTAACTCCCCGAGGGTACGGAGAGAGGGAGGGTGGGGGAGAAGGAACAGAGAGCAAGGGTGACTGTGAAACCCCACTCGAGGTGGCGTGGCGAATAGCAGAATTGCAGGTGAATGGATATACTGGATGGGGTAAGATAACAAAAAAAAAAGAATATATAATAACAATTAAAAGGGTTCATGGGGGGCGGGGCAGGAATAAAAGGAGCTGATACCAGAGTTAAAGAAGAAAGAAAATTTTGGAAACTGATTGTGCTAGCAATTGTACAATTATGCTTGATCTAACTGAATTATGGAATGTTTTATCTGCCAGAGCTCCCAATAAAATGATTAATTTAAAAAAGCATGAGAAAAAAAAGCATATATACAGCTTCCTCTTGTTCCTCCCTGTTGGTGTGGGATGCAGTCTAGGCTCAAGTTCAGCTCCCTCTTGCTATGCCTACTTGGCAGGAGCACGGTGATGCTTGCTGCCGAGCTGACTGCTGCATTGTGCTTTCAAGGCTGTGATGGCAGACCGCCCGGCTATCTTCTGAGGTGCCTCTAGGTAGGTCCAAACCGCCGACCTGTTACCATCAAGCACCTAACCATTTGTAGATCTTGGTGACAGGTGGATGCCTGTGTGAGCCCGTTCTCTTAGCAGCCCCACAGGGCAAAGCAGAACTGCCCCATTGGTCATCGCAGGCTGGAAATCTTCGGGAGAAACAGGCTGCTTTCTCCTATGGAGCCACCAGCCTTTTAACGAGCAGCCAATTGCTTAACCACTGTGCCACGCAGGGATGGGAAAGTGGCGTCGCAAAGCCCCGAGCACAGTGCTGGGCTCCGTGAGAGCTTTCTAACAAATGGTAGCTCTTACTAGTTCAGTGTGATCAGGCTCTGGGCTGGGCTGAGGCTGCAGCGTGGCTCTGGGGTCGTCACTCATAATGGAAGAGGAAGCTGGGAGCAGGCAGCCATTTGGAAACAACTGTAACATCTTTTTAGAGAACATCCTACCTCAGATGGGACAGAGTTTCTCTGGACCCAGACAAAGTGCATCATATGGAGGCCCAGCAGCTGCCTTCCTTTGAG